TTTCTCAATATACTGATACGTTCCTCAGAATTATTTCTATTCTGTCTTTTCCATATTGATATTTGCTGTCTGCATCGAGCAAGTCTAGTAGCAAGAGGAATCTGTACTAACTGAGCCTGTCCAGACCCTTTCCATCCACGGTTAATTGATTCTTTATATCCATCCTTCCCATTTAGTCTTCCATTATAATGAAACATCTTTCTTGGAATTTCTATATCATATGAGATATAGGTGACTACAGGTCGATGATCAGATTCTCCTATATCAAGAAATTCTGTTTCTGATGCTGGAAATTCATTCATCCATCTGCTATTGGCCATTGTCCTGTCTAGGCAGCATTGAACATGATGATCACCTCTCTGTCCTACCCAAGAGAACTTGTTACCAATAGATCTGATATCCATAAGATCATTATTGCGTACAAAATCTCTGAATGCTTGAAAAGAGTTTGCAGGTCTGATTCTTCCTCCAATCTTCTCATGATTCCCCAGAATCTCATTAAAATCTCCTAGTAGCATCCAAGGTTCATTTCTCCTTGTCATTCCTATTCTTTCAAGTTTTTCCCAAGTATAGTTTCTCAAACTAGGATTTGGGTTTCCGTAGACAAATGACAAGTAGAAAGAACCTTCATTACTTAGAATCTTACAATCGATGAGATGACTAGATAAACTTAAAACAGAGAGCTGTACATCATTCTTTCAGAATAAAACCAAACCTCCACTAAGGCCTATAGGAGGCACCGTTACATAATTAAGATAACCCAGTTGAGCACCAACATCTCTAATATAATTGTCTTGTTGCTTTGTCTCAGATAAGCCAATGATGTCCGGGAGATACTTCTTGTTTATCTCCTTTAGGCGTCGAACTGTAGAGTCATTGCCAATACCTCTACAGTTCCAGCAGGCTGTCCTCATGGTGGCAATGGTGGTTCAGGGCCCACCGTGCCTCCCAATTTGTTTCCAACCTCTGTCTCACTTCCGTGTTGATCACTCTTCCCAGTATGTAGTTCCTGTTGCTGCTCTTTGTGTGCCTCAGAGATGTTAACTCCACTTGATTCTCCTCTCTCACCTCGACGTAACTTCCTTTTATTATCATCAGCCGTTTCCATCCAAGCCTTCCTTTTGAGTGGCTCTCGTGCAGGGTGATTTTCTCCAAATGGGTTTTGAGGGTTGAACATCTCCACCATATTAATATCATCAGAGAACATGGTGCGTTTTGCAGGAGCATACCATAATTCCTCATCACCACCATCCACTTCAGTCTCACTTAGTAAACTGTTGTCTTCATCTTCAGGTGGATCACTCTGTTCCGTAGCTCCACCACCAGACACCTCTTCTGTTACTTGAGGAACCTCTTCTTGAACATCATTTTCTTCATTGATTTCTTCAATAATAACTCCTTGGTTTGGGTTATGATCTTCCCCCATTGCGTGTTCCTCATCAGAAAAGTCATCTCCACCATCATCTGGTCCTTCTTCAGGGCCCCCATTAACAATCAAACACCGTCCAGTATCGTGTGTTATCATGCCACAGGTTTCGCAGAAACCTCTTAGCCTTTCGTACAGAAAACGTAGCATAGTGTTAACACCAGCAGAAAACTGAAAATTGCGTCTGAAACGTAGTGGTTGATTGATATCCCAGTTAAGTCTGACTCTGATGAACTCCAATCGTGCACCAGCTTCTTCATTGTAATCCATTTGGATATATTGCCCCATCACACGAGCAATATGAAGAATGACTTCACGGTTTAAGAACTGAAAAGGTATGCCCCTTATCTGGACCCATAGAGGAATGAAGTTCAACATAGCCATATCCATTAATGGCGTCCACCTTTGTAAAACCAATATTCGATCTGCATAAGCCCATGGACCACGACGAATTACACTGTCCATGGCTTCTTCAGTAGGAAAAATGAATTGAAAACGCCTGGCTTCAATAGCACGTCCACGAATTAGACCTTCAAGCCCCCAAAATCTTGGCATTGTTGCAATGATGCCTCTGATATTCTGACGGCGTGGCATCACAGGTCTCCCAATTAGTATAAAACGGTTTTCCTCTGCGGCTTGACGAACTACTTCCAACGGTAAAGCCACTGGAGGATCTTCACTTCCAAGAGCGATGTCTTGCATTGCACGGCGAATGTTGTCTGCCATTTTTGTGAGAATAAAATAGAATCGTAGGGGATACTTTAGGATTGTAGACACAAAAGGGATAAAGCAAAGTGATAGAACAAAATCCCAGAAGTGTTTTTTATAGAGAAATCCCAAACTTTCTCCGAAAGTTAAGCCATCATGGGGTAGTAGAAACTTCCACATGGGAAAATAGGGTGTCGTGGATGTAGAAAACCAAGTAAACCACGATCCTCCATCAGTAGACATAACATCACTATGTTACATATATCCCTTATATAATAATTGAGAAACATTACAACATTGTTTTGTAGCCACATGACGCCATGAAAATAAAATTCAGAATTCTTAGAAAAATTGGTTGGTTCATCTTAACTTATATAATACATTTTATTAAACTAACTATCAAATTGATAAGTAGTATACAAAAGAATATTCTCACACTTTCCTTAAATAAAATCTATGCAATACCTAATATGTTAACGTATATATGACATTAATGATTATCAATAATAAATATTTGATAGTAATTTTTGTATCTAATATTTTTTGTTTAATTTTATATTATTAAAATATATTAAACAATCACATTAAACATATAATAAAAAGTTAAAATGTTCTTATATGTTATATTTTGAATTTTAAAATGATTATAAATCACTAAAAACGTTAAATGTTTCACATTAAAAGTTTGTGATCAATGGTTTAACTTTTTTGTCATAACAAGATATAAATGATCATAAATCGTATGAATATGAAATCTCATTTAATAGCCATTCATATTATATATAAATATAGTTTAAAACTAAAATATATAACATATAAAATACATAAATATGTTAATTTCTAAAAAAATTATTTGAAAGTATTGAAAAATACCTTAGCATTTTAATTTTGAAATTTGCATTGAAAAAAATCGCATTCAAAATTTTGTGTTTATCATATGAATATGAATTCTCAATATTAAATATTTATATTAAAATGTACTATATATCTATGTCCATATCATTAAAATTTAGTTATATACTATATTAAATAAATAAAATAATTATTTTGATTTATTTACTAGAAAAATATTTTAAATAAACAAGAAGTATTATTTTGATTTATGTGCTTATTCTAATTTAATTATATACATACTATATAAATAAATAATGATATATAAAAACTATTTTTATATATGACTTTCATTCCGCGTAATTGCGCGGGTCTTAATCTAGTTTCCTGTAATTAGATATACTTTCATTTAGTGTGCATGATTAATCATGTGCTGGTCAAATACTTCAGGGACATCCTTTTTTTTCAAATTCAAATCATGTTATATGTAAACAAATTTCTATCTATGTAGTTGAATCCAAAGTTTTATATATTATATTATATAATTAAAAACGTTAAATAAATAGAAGAAATGAAGAAAAAATAATATAATATGTATTATAAAAGTAATGGTTTTGCTTTTGGCTATGTACGTTTAATTTGTTTAAAGGGTGTTGAATCCAATTTCCCATAATTTTTACTTGTTAATTGCTGGACTTTTTTGATAAATTTTATCGGCTGATTCGGTCGGTCTCGGAAGGAACATGTTTAGTGTTACAGAGTAGACTAGTCTGAAAACATACCACATTGTCTGATTCGAATTTAGAATACCTTCCGACTAATTATAGGAGATGAACCAATCATCTATTACAATCTACTATATTAATCACTCGGACCTAATCCTAAGTGCAGACCGGTCAAGTAATGATAATTTTCTTTTATCTTCGATCAATTTAATCCTCAATGTTTTGATCATAGTGTATTTAGTCTCCTTCTATTTATAGTAAGTCTGGTAAACATCTCTACGCGGTAACAGTGTATCTTATAAACCAATAATGATGATCCAAAGATTTTACATAAAAAAATCAAATTAAGTGGTGGAGAATAGAGAACAACTATCGAATGCAATAGTCAAGGGAAGCTATGTAGTATTTTGGATTCAAGGAAAACAAATACCTTTCATCATCATGAAAAGAAAGAATAATGAAATTAAACAAGTAATAGCAAGCCGCGTGTATGGATCTTGTGTGCTGGGACATCTTCACCTTTATCAATTTCTCCTTAGATTAAATCGCACCAAATTTATAACGATACATAACAATAAGGCAGGTTAACCAATTATTTACTTCCGAATTTGAGGATTAAAGTTTTCTATTGAATTTTAATTTCTTTAGGATTTTTATATCCTTAGTACGACCACCACTTACGCAAATTGTTTGTAAAAGTAAGAATACAAATTTTTTGTATTCGTAATATTCGACCAACGACTCGACAAGATACATTATCCGTGATATAACAACCTCTACTCTAAGTCGTTGGCATAATATTAGTAACATTTACCATATTAACTTGTTAGCATAACATTACTAACAGTACCATAGAAAAATGACTATGTCTTCGACCCATAAGTTTTTTGCGTAAAAGCAGATTATTATAGCCGACTTGGTTTTTTTTTTTGGCAACAAAACCGACATGGTTAGACTGTCGCTTGTGGAGACATGTTGATTAAAGAGGTACTGAAAAGATAAAGTAAATACTTATCACTGATTGTTTATACGAATAACGATCTAACCACAACCAAGTGTAGAACTTATAGCAATACACAGTCAAACAAAATGATCCTTTTAATATGAATTAGCTAAATACTACCTCGACTGGTTTTTAGAAAATTATAGTAATTTCCAAACTAACTAACACAATAGAACTTTTTATTTAAAAGAAGAAAACAAATTTTAAATAATTTTTGTGTTGCTACTACTGGACAAATTCGGTACACAAAAATAATAAAATTGACTGACGATTAAAAACCTAACTAATACGAAATTCCTTTAAAGGTGTAATTACGATGCTATCTTCACGAAAAAATACAGCCAACCTAGATGCATGCAGTGCTAAACAGAATTAGCAAAGAACCTACATGCATAGACTAAGACCGTACATAATGAAATCAAAAGATTTTCAAATTGCAGAGACATAAGAAATCTCATCCAAGTCCGAAACTTTATAAAATAGTAGATAACACACCAAAAAGATAAAATAGTAATCTTATGTTGAGTACAAAAAAAGGAGTAAACTTGCAAAAATCTCAGAAGCTCAAATCTAGTGCTTAAGATGATGAAGCTGCTGCGCCCTTGTTCCTTGGCTTGGCTTCGGTACCTAAGCAAAAGCAAACGCGCAAAGGTTCAATTAACAAAATCATTTTATACAGATTCAATCATTTACATAGAACTTATGAGAAAAGAGTACCTTCTCTGAAACCGGTCTTGAACCTGCGAGGCACATTGCGAAGATACCTCATCCTTCCAGTTCCCGTAGTCTTTCTACGGATTGCCTTCACACTCCAGTTATCTGATAACATTAAATAGACACATCATTCAGATTCCTCAAATTCAAAACAGCATGTCTTTGTCGCAAAAAGAACAAACATTAAAGTCTCAAGAGATGTGTAATTCCTAGGAAGAAAGTCAAAAGAACATAGACTCAACCTCATAAAGAGAAAATCCAAGATGAACGACACCCTAATCGAAGAACAGATGAAACTTCCAACACACAACACCTCAAGATTCCACAGATTACAGTTGAAGAGAAATGGATTTGCTATACTTATACGAACTCAGATTAAGACATTATCCTAGGGAAGAGAAGCATACAGGTTCTCTTGCGAGCAGCGGGGTAAGCACAGGCGGAGCAACGACTCTTCTGGATGTGGAAACTGCGACGGCCACATCTCACACAGAGAGTGTGACTCTTGTTCCTTCTCTTTCCGAAACTCCCCGTTCCCTTTGTCTGCAATCAACAAAAACAAAAAAAAACAAATCAGCGATTGATATCAAAACATGTGCAAATACACGAAACATATGTGACATAGAGAGAATCGTAGATCACCATTGCAGCGAGTGTAAGAGAAAACTTTAGGTTTCGGCCGCAGAGAAATGAGTCGATAAACTTTATATAATCCTAGGGTTTTCTTTTCTTTTATTAGGGTTTTATAATGGATCGTAAGGCCCGTTAAAGTTTGGGTCGAACCGAAAGGCCCATTAGATTTCCTTTGTATACTCTTTTTAGAGTTAAACAAAATTCAAAACCCATTGTATACTCTTTTTGGAGTTGAACAAAATTCAAAACCCAGACCCCGGTTATTTATGATAGATTGTCAATTTAATACATCTTATACATTAAAACAGAAATCATGATTTTGATTTATGTATGATTTATAAAAAAATAGATCCATCGTTAGAAACTTTTACTATATGTATTTCATGAAGACTAATAATATATAGAATCTTTAAAATACTTTAATCATAATATCCCTTTGATATCTTTTCAGTTTCATTCTAAATATAAATATATTTATTTAAATTCTAACAACTCTATTTTAAAAGATTTTATATGATCTTCATTTTTGATATTATCTTTAATATTTTCGCTAATTTTGAAATATGTTTGAGTTGTTATTATACATTAATATATTCAGTTAAGTTTATAAAATAAAAATTAAAAAATTATATCATATTATCTATTATATAATCATAATCAATCATATTAAAAATATTATATTAATCTAAATATAATAAAATTGTATTAAATTTATAAATTTATATGTTTTATTTTCATAAGTATAAAATATTTATGTTCAAAAATAAAATCTAATATGTTGGTAAGATAGGTTAACATTAGCGAACTATATAATACATGTATATAAATTAACATGTAGTTCATTAAAGCTAATAATATAAAATCTTTATAACTTTAATCATGATATCTTTTCATTATATATATTTATATATTAAATTTCTAAATTTTTAATAAATCTGTGTAAAAATATTTTACAATAAGTTAATGTATTTTATGTTATCGTTATAAAATGAAAAATTTAAATTATATCCTATTTAATTTATTTCATAGTCGTAATCATCATTTTAAAAGACAATTATTATATTGAACTAAATATGATAAAAATATATTAAATTTATAAATTTTATTTTCCTAAATATAAACTATCTATTTTAAAAATAGAATATGATGATAGAACGGCTTAAATTTAGCAAACTATATAATACATGTCTAAAAGTTAATATATCTTAGACTTTTGTATATCTATTTATATAAAGGAGACTTTGTCTCCCTCTTGCTCATCCACGTAGGATAATACCTTTCATGCGTGATGCCACGTGTCCATGTCGAGATGAGCCTTGCCTTTTAATTTTTTGGGCCTAAATTTTTGTAAGTCCATGGCCCGTCTGAAGGTCTTCTCTCTCGTCTCTCTCTTTTCAGTCGAACTAGGGTTCTTTTGGTTCCTCAAGCCAAGCAGCCGCCATTGTTTCTCCTTTCAACTCATCTCTTAATATCGATTCGCTTTTCTCCTTTACCGGTTTATATGGATTTTGTTACTCATTGATGAGAGTATTTAACACTCTCCCACGATCTGTCATCAGTCCCTTCTTATCAGCTTAGAGTCGGTGGAGAAGGTGTATACATAGAGTTTAGTTCTTCATCTTCTCAGAATCATTCCCATTTGTTTCTTACACATATAAATAATCAGTTTCTGTCGTAATGGCTTTGTCTAGGGTATTCTTTTCCGAGTTGAAGTCCGGCCGCTGCTCTTCCACTGTCGAGGTTCGTCTGCTCCGGTTCTGGGAGGCGAGAAATCCCAGACGTGGTGGTGAATTGATGTTGTTTGAAATGCTCATGGTTTAAATGTAAGAAATCTGCTCTTTAGATTTCAGGAAATCATTAAACTAAATAAATTTGGTGAACTGTTCACTCTTCAGCGGTGATGCGTCTCCTGCGTTTCTGGGAAGCTCACCAAGTCAAGAAAGGAGAGCTAATGGGCGTCGACATGTTCATGCTTGATGAATTGGTCAAGCTATTTCATGTCCAGCTGATGCTATAATCTGATTTTATTATGTTGCTTCTCTAATATTTTGTCAATCTTCTCATGAGCTTTTCAATGTTCTGATCAATCGTCTTAGACTCATCCTATCTAAAGGTATAGAATTTATGTTGCATATGAATTCTATTTGGAAGAGTCTTGCGATTATATAACCTCTCAAGTGCCATCCAAATCTCTGCAGCAGTTGAGCAATCTTCAAGCTTTCGCAAAACATGATCCCCAAGATTCAGGATCAACATGTTCATCGCCTTTTCAGCTCTTTCGAGCCTTTTGACCTCTTCCTCCTTTAGCCTTTCTTGATATGCATCTGGATCTTCTTCTTTATTCATTGGCTTCGGATCTGGGATTGAATCTTCTAACGGATCTTTCAATCCCAAGATTGATAGGTGAGCTAACATCCTCTTCTTCCACATCGAGAAATCGCCTTGACTGTCAAAGATCTCTACTTTGACTTTCTTCATTGAACCCTTCATCGTCTCAACGCAGCTCTTATACCACTTTGTTAGTATCGATTGCTTCGAGATCCAACTAATAGAACACTAAAAACGATGACACAAGAGTTATACGAGTTCAGGCCCTCCGAAAAGTAAAAACCCTACATATCGGTACTGAACAAAAGCTCAGCAATTCACTATCTTTCTCTCTTAACAAGAATCGAATAATCCCCCTCTTGTTTACTCTAGAATGTAGCTCACAAGAGATGGGGGAACAATGACATATGCCCTTTATATATCAGGGACTAGTCACATGTATTAAGCTGACAAACTAATCATAAACCATGAGCCTAACCGCCTTGACTAAACCGGATAACCTCCACTTCAATCCAACCGGCTCAATTGACATTCCCATCTCGGTTTAAGCTAACCAGAATTGATTATCATCACCAAAGTACTACAACAGCGTCTAGGAATTTAGAAAGGGGAACATTTAGGTTTCAAACTTTCAAGTTTGCTAATACGTCAGGTCATGAGTTTATGGGCCTCATTTTCACAGAATCACTGGATCAATGAAATCCATAAGAGGAGTATGTAGAGAGTTAAAAGGGGCCCACCATATTCAGGAAATCAATATTATTAAAAGAGAACTAGATTTTTGATCTGCGCTTAAAAAGCGCGGATACTATTTTTGTTGTTTTATCTACAGATAGATCGATAAGTCTTTTACTTTTACAAGATCAAGTTATATGCGGGTATAAGAAAATTTTATTTTATAATGTCTCATACAATTTTTTTATGTTTCTAAATAAGTTAACAATTGTTGTACCTGAAATGTGTATTTGAGAAATATTGTATATTTAACAATTAAATGGTCCAATTTTTTTTAGTTTTGTGATTAATTCGTAAAATCATTTAAAAATTTCAATCGCTCAGTCCGACCCGCCCCGTCCAACCCACCCCGTCCAACCCGCTCCGTAGCGAGTTGAGTCATTTTTTCGACCGGAAAATTTCACTCGCCTGGCCCGTAAAGAAAATATATTTTTGCAAGAATTGTTTTTATAAAATTTGAAAAAGAATAAGCCCATTAATGAAACCCATTAGTATATAATTTTAGGCCCAAATAAAAAAGACTAAAATGCCATTAATGAAAAATTAAATTTGTTCATAAGATTAATGTTAATTTAGGAAAACTTAAATAATTTATTAAAATGAATGATCATGTTTTAATGTTATTGATGAGTCCTAAAAAAATTACCTATAAAAATTGTTTAAACCCTTCCATTTAATTTCTTATTTTTTGGTCATACCTTAAATTCCTCTAACTATATAACATTCAATACATTTAATTAATCTTAATAGATTTTAATTCATATTCCACTAACTTACCTTTTAATTATTGGTTCTATTAGTTATTAAATTAAACCTATTATTACGGCGATCGTGTTATACTAATATAACATGTATTAATACTTTTCGTAACCCTGAGTTCAAACCGGTTTGTATTATATACATTAGTCAAAATAATAATTAATTCATGTACAAACGGTTATTCACAGCTTGAACTCCACTATATGTATATAATATACAACTAATCATTTTTAACATACACATAATATTAGTCTCATAAAATTATTTAATTTGCACAATCGATCTTTGTTGTTTATTTGTAACATAGTCTGGAGTAAAATCATGGGAAATAAACATTTATGGAAACAAACATAATGACATCAAAATATTATTTTATTAAACCTATGTATCAACATTCAAAATAGATGATTCAAATATTATGCATATTTTCTGTACAAACCAAAACTCTATGTCCTACAGCATAAATCATTTACATATTTGAATATTAATTTTTGCGTATAATATTATTCAATGATCAAAAATTAATCTATATAAAATATTTATAAATTTATATTTACTTTTTTCCATTTTATACATAAAAATTGTATGACAATTATGAGTGTTTAAGAGTATTTTAAAAATTATCACAAAATTAAAAAAAGTTAATATAAAATAAAGTATAAAATTATGATAAGTTATTAATAATAAAATAAACTAATAGTATCATGCCAATAAGTTTTTTATATTATGATTTTTAGTGTCCTTGATAAAAATTTCATCAAAATCTAAGGAATCACAAGTTTATACAATACTAAAAATTATATGAGTAATGCGACTAGAAAAATAAAAATATTATCAGATATTTTGTGTTTTTATTGGATCAGTTGTATTACATCACAGGTTAATGGCGGATTTTTGCGTTTTTACCGGATTTTTTTTTAATAGTATAGATTTTTTCATTAAATCCTAACTGAAATATATATAAGGTGTGTGGCACGTGGATGATTGTCTCTTATTTGTTGCCCCTTGGAGTCCGGTTGACTCTCTTAAAACCCCTGAGATTTCAACTCTCCCAGTTTGGGTCACCCTTAAGAATATTCCGGATTCATGCTTCTCAAGATTAGGTATCAGTCATATAGCATCAGGTTTGGGAGAGCCAATGCTTACTCATAGGCCTCGATTAGATCCCACAATTATGGGGGAAGCGAAAATTTTAGTGGAGGTTGAGTTAGACAAAGCATTTCCGAAGCAAATTGCACTTGATGACAAGGAAGGAAACATCTACTTGGTGGAGGTGGAGTATTCTTGGATTCCTAGTGCTTGTGAAAGATGTGGAGCCCTTGGGCATAAAGAGAAGAGGTGTTTACTACCTGCTAAGACTCTTGGAACATCTCATGTTACAAAGGAAACTCTGGTACCTAATGAAGAGATCCCAATGGTGGATATAGATAAGCCGTTGCAAAAAACCCCGAATTACCAACTTGGAATCAAACTCAAGCTCTATTTCCACTCACCAAGCGCCTGAGACTCCAAAAAAGTCTACAGCGACTAGTCATTCTGAGGATCCCACTGATGGACCATCCACCAATTTGCATGAGGTACATTCTATTTCTCGCTCTAAGTCAGTTAATACTTTATCTTCGTTAGCAGCCACTGTCGCTGCTCCTTCTCCGTCACATATTATGGAGGAAACTCCATCTCAAGTAAACATTTTAAAAGCTTCTCACACTTCTGAGAAAGAACAACGTTTTGGTCAAGACTCTCTTCACTCTCAAAACAGTCATCAAATCCACACTGAGACTCCTCTCGGTTCTGGAAATGAGAATGGTTTGTTAATGGATGGTGAAACATCTGGTTATAACACAACTAGAGGAGGAAGGCCAATAAAACCGACCCAAAAAATTCAAGATATGGAATGGACAAAAGCAAAAGGAAAGAGTAAACGAGGTCGTAGCGGCCGAGGGAACTAATTTCACTAATGTTGTCGTGTTCTTTTATTTGCTCTTTACGATTCTTTTTGGAATTGTCTACTAGGGCTGTGTTCCCTTTTGTTGCTGCAAATTTATCAAACTTATGAGTGAAAACTCATACCTGTATTACTTATAATTTTAATATGAAAGCCTGTTACAAAAAAAAAAGGTTCATATGTGTATTTTATTAAAACAAATATAAGGTCTATGAGCATTTCAAACTCCTTCATTCACACACAAAGCTGTTAGCGAGGAAGAAGACCTCGCCGAGGAGAAAAAGTCTAGGCAACGGCTACAACGAGGAGAGAATTGAAGAAAGATGCTGGCGAGGAGGAGGAGGAGAACCAGAACATCTTTCTTTTTTTCTTCTCCTCGTCCTTGTAAGACTCCTCTAGACCAGACGACTTGAACCATAAAACCATCCTCTCTCTATGATGAAGATATCTTTTATCCGTCGCTCTCCCTTCATGCATGGTACATTTCTTCTCTTTTGTCTTTCTCAAAAATATTTACATCTTGAATGAAGTACAATATAGTCCACAAACCACGACCTCACGTAGCATGTTCTAATATATCAAATCAATGCTATAGTTTGACATGCTTATTTGACATTACGAACAGAATTTTACAGAAACAACTTTAAAAAAAAAAAAAAGAAGTATAATCGACCAAGCTTTTGTTTTTAATGGGTTTTTAACTTTCCGTCCTGTCAAGGTGATTGTAACTTTGTTAAGTTCAAGTGAAGCTAGTTGCTCCATATCCCAGTTTTACTCTTTTACGATGGTCTTCTTCGCCGGAATTTTCAGTTAGAAAAACAAACCGGCGGAGAATTTTCAATTGATGGTAATGACTATCTTCATCATCTATTTCTAGATTGTGTGTGTTAACTTTGTTTTCTATATATTATTCCTAAAATGTGTTTGTTCACTTTCGTTTTTATATAATGATAACGAAAAAAGCACATCGATATATCTGTATGATGCAATTCTCATAGTTCCAATGTTTCAGATTGCTTGGACTTTCTTTTCCATCTGTACAGGAATATTCATCTAGCTACTTTCAAGATATAGTTTCAGGTTCAATATCCTGCTAAGAAGGGACCCTTAGATGATTCGTTTGGTCATCATGCTTATTATTCTTATCTTCTTCTTTAAACAGGTTTTCGTTTCGTTAAGAACAACAATGTTCATATTAGGAATGATGTGTGTATTCATAGGCATATCTTTACTAGCACCTGATGATACAAGAGGCAACGAGACAATAATACATCATCTCTTGATGCCAATGGTGTATTCGAAGATCACAGGAATTAGAGGAAACGGACTCGAGAGGGCTAAGATCTTGTCCATGAGAGGAGGATCAGGATGGAGCAAACTAGCCATGGAAGAAGGAACAAGAATGCTTGAAAATACATCTTATCATCACCCTTCAAAGGCTTAAGTAGACAGTTTTCTCAGGTACATTCTTCTCTTAGCAATGTTTTTTAGGATCCATTACACGTTGTGTATTCTTGCAAAGACCAAAATGTATTATTATATTGCATATATATATGTATATTAAATTTTGTTTGTCTGTTTGAGACCTGTTGAAAAGAGTTTCATAAAGTGCAAAATGTAAAACAAGTTTGAATTGAGTTTTAATCATTATATTACAAATCCACAACTCAGGGCTACAGTTTAGACAGTCTTCACCGATGTTTTGAGAATCAGAAAACATGAGAGACAAGTTTTGTTTTTCATTACAAATCACTTCCAGTTTGTTGGCAACAATGTCAGCCAAATCAACAACTCTCTGTGAGTAACCCCATTCATTATCATACCAAGCAATCACCTTAACCATATCATCTCCCATCACCATAGTGAGTGAAGAAGAATCAATGGTAGTCAATGGTGGACGACACATCTGAGCATCTGAGCCATGAGGTGAACTCCTATAGATTTTCGAAACACATTTCTTACCATGGGTTACCGGAACATATCATAAAATGGAAAACAGACATCAAACATTGTGAAAATGGGTACCATTTTATCCATATCAGGAGGGTAGAAATTGGCACCAGGTGGCTTAGTCAAAGGAAAGGCGGCTCTGTATTCAAGACCCTTCCAGCCAGCAAAAGGTTTCGTTGCTTCAGGAAGCAACTTTACAGCTGAATCAGCCGTAGTCAATAATGGTTCATTTTCATCCAAAGACGACCTACAAATGTAGAAAGAAACGTCGTCAATCTATTGCACTGATCACTCTCCTAATTGTCATGAGGTGTGTTACAAATTTACAATATGTTAAATGAATTTTGCAACTTGTATTAACAGACACCTTTGTTGTAACAAAGCCAGTACAATGATACTCACCATGGAATTTTGTTGATCAGGAAGTATTTCCATTTTAATTTGTCAAGTTCTGATGCATTAGCATGCTCCTTCAGCCAATCTCTTAGAGCTGGATTGCTGTGCCAAAGCTGTTTAGGATAAACAGACAACTTATCTAGTTTAGTTTAAGTTCAACCATGAGAAACATAACTGAAAATTCAGACAACAGATGCACAACAAAACCTGCTCATGGCAAATATCGTCGATTAGACCCAGCGTTTTCTGATCTGCCTCAGAGAGTTCTTCTGTCAACTGCATAGTCAATAAAAGCTGAATTTTGTGGTACATTTGAAACAAATAAATCACGGTAATATATATCTGTGACAAGTTAGTACATTTGCTTTGAGGGTGACAGGAGAATATCTTTGGAGTTGCTTCTGCAGAGATAAACTACGAGCCTCAGTGTTCACTTGGCACCTACAGCAAGAAGAAACACTCTTTTGTGAGATAAGAACTCTTTTGATGTTGTTAGTACATATCATCAGAGATTACCAAAAAGAAACAACTCAGAAACACTAAATAAGAGAGTTAATTAATGTGTACCTCTGACTGATTATGTGAAATAGTTTTCCAAAGTCTCCATCAACATCATATGGCACATAAGCAGGATCTTTCTTGGCAAGGAGGTTTCTGTATACTTCATAAGGTATGTACTTTACAGCAGAGACTTCCTCTTTCTAATATATAAGAAACAACGAAATGGTAAGGCAACTTGAGAATCCAAATTAGCAACTAAAACTTACAACCTTGTAAAGGAAAAAAAAAAAAAAAACTCACTTGAAGAGTAAAGGCTTCTAATGGGATCGGATGCAAAATTGTAACAAGATACACATCATCGAACTCATTATTTATGAATTTGCCAAAATATATGAATTCAGAAAAAAAAAAAAAAAAACAAACCATTCTTGAAGAAAGACGAATAACATTTCAAAGGCATCCATTGGGAGTTTTACGCCAAGCTCTTCCTCAAGCTCTCGCCTGCGCAGAAAGTGAAGTAAACAGCAACTTTAGTTAAAACGAGAGAAGAAGTAAAGTGAATTGCAGAACCAAATTTACTTACTGAGCCGACATAAGAGATGAATCACCAGCTGAGATATGACCAGCACTTGAGATGTCCCATCGACCAGGCCAAGAATCTTTATCATCAGAGCGGAGTTGGAGAAGTAGTTCTTGAGTGCTCTCTACAAAGATCCACACAATAACTGCACGATGGTAATCTCCATCTCGATGAACCTCTGACCTTTAATGAAGAAGAAGGACACGGTGTGACAACAAAAAAATAAGACAATTTGTTTTTAGGTAACACAAGTTAACGAAGAATCAAAAACAGTAAAGGAAGACGTAGACTAAGATCAGTAAGCAATCAATGGTTTGATGCAACTAAGATCAAATCTCAAATGAGACTTCTAGTACGAATAGATTTCTGAGTATTTTTCATTAAAAAAGCAAGGGAAAAGCTCATGCCTGGGTTTGGACACACCGGTCTTCTCTCCGGATTTGGTCAGAACGTCGAAGTGTTCTTCCGCCATAGCTTCTATCTCTCTTTTTTTTTCTTTCAAAAAAGCTTCTATCTCTCTTTTTTTTCTTTCAAAAAAGCTTCTATCTCTCTTTCTCCTTCGTGACTGTCCGAAATGAGAAAAACGAGTTACCTATTTACCTATTTATACAAGGGGGAAGTCTCTCCGTCAAATACAAAAAATAAAAAAGAGTGACGTACTTTGCTTACTTGCAGAATAAGCGAAGGACTTAGTTTTTATTTATTTATTTATTTATTTATAACGCTTTACTTTATTAGTTTCAGTGAGTTTGTAAAGTCATGATGCAAATCATTACACTACAGAAAGCCGATGAATTTTTCCGAGAATCTTTTTGGTCAGAAAAAATATAGACAAAATTTTGAGAACTTTCCGAGAACAAAAAAAGCAACTTGTTAATCTACTCGGAAAGTTCCAATGTGAATGTGTTGCCGGAAGTTTCTCCGAAATTTGTTGGAAATTATGATATGATCCAGCAAAGGACTTAATTAGTTTTATTGAGCAAAATAAACTAATTAAATTAAAGTGAAATATAAATAAATTTAATAATATTATTTGATAATATTAATCTAATATTTTAAAATCATTGATTTACAAAAAGTACCACTGTAAATATGTTTTTATATATTTATATATACATATATATATTCATCATTGATTTATATATTTATCAAAAATGTTTTTATACTTTACTATTAATTCCCAAAATTATAATAAATATCTTACAAAAAAATTGAAAATATTATTTTGGTTATTTAATTTTGATTATTTAATTTTGATTATTTGGTATATATGATGAATTGTTTTAACATATTCCAATTGATACTAAATGTAGTGTTAATCTATCTTTGCTATAAAAATTGCTTTTTGTTTCTAGTTTTGCATTTTTTGTTCTTAAAAAAAAAAAGAAGAAAAATAGTTGATCCAAATGCTCTCTAATGATTTTGATTAGTTACTTAGCATAGCAATTTTGATGACGTGTCAGTTCTATATCAATTGAAAAATAGTTGATCCAAATACTTTCTAATGATTTCCCTAGGATCTCTTAAATTCGATGCACATGACATTGAGCTTATGTTTTGATACATAGCATGAGATAATAAGCATTTAATGGAGTAATTTGAACCATTCATTTATCAATTAAAATTTATTATATATAATTTTCTTAAATAAAAAGATTTATTGGTGAAATAGCCATGTATGACTTATAAATTGAAAAATTAAACATGATTTTAGCATAATGCATTGTCAGAATTTTTGCTTTCATTCTAGCCGGTTATATCCCTAAAAGAAAAAGGTTGTCGTTCCATATTTTTAAGTAAATGACGTGTTCAAGTTCTGTGGTATAGTAATAACCACATAATTTACGTAGCGCATGAAAGATATATATTCAAGACATATACTGTAAGATATCAATTCATAATTTATGTAGTTTACATAAAATAGGATAACTATTATTGTAGCTCTAACTGAACGTAATTCAATATAATTTTCTTTTCTATTCCACATGCCGAATATGATATAAAAATTTTGACATGACAAGTGCAAATAAAATGCATGTCCTTTCCATGTAAAGCACATTGAATGGAAACAAAGACTATGTAATTTTACATAATAAACGTGATATCAAGTTAAATGTTAAATCATACCTAACTTTTGAATACTAAACCCTAAATTGCTATCACTAAACCCAAACCTCGACCTTCCAAATACTAAATCCTAAATCCTAATCACTAAACCTTAAACCCAAGTATAGACTCTAAACACAAATAGAATGAAACAAAATACATAGAATAGTATATATTGTGAGCAAAATAGAACCATTTTTATTAATCATCATATGAAACAGTACATGATAGGATCACTAAACCCAAACCTCAACCTCCACCTTCCAAATATTAAATCCTAATCACTAAACTCTAAACCCAAGTATAAATCCTAAACCCGAATAGAATGGAACAAAATACATAGCATAGTATATACTGGTGAACAAAACAATACATTCTTTATTATGTTTCATTCTACATGGTTCACATAGAATAGACAAACTGTTGAAGTTGATGAAGGTATGTGATGGGGGACGATGTCAAAGACTTGATCACAGATTTGACATATGAAAGAATTCCAAAAAGCCATGTATTAAAGTGTAATTACTAAAAGGAAATAAGTGGTGTCAAAGTAGAATTCGTAGCAGTTCTTGTTCCATGCTACATGAGACACGTAGAATAGAAATTTGGATTAGTAGTTTACCAAATCATGAAATAATAGATGACGTAAAAGAGGAAACATGTGAAATTAGATACGCCATGATTTACTTTTGGGTGTTTAATAATTAAGATTTCTATTTTTTTATATCAAGTTATGCCGGTTGAAAGAAGTTGATATGAGGCATATTTGCATAGTTTTAGAATTTCATTTTGTACATAAATCATCATATAGATTCAGGTTTAGACATCTTTAGGTCCATATTGCATTCATATGTTCTTATTAGGTATTGGAGTGTGCCATGGAGTGAATGGAGGTGTTTGGGAGCATTGTGATCCAAAAGAGGGTTAAAGATGAACATGGATGGAGACCTTAAGGATATCTTTTGAAGCTCATATTTTGGGAAGACATGGGAAATTGAGTTATCGTTCTAATGGAAGTGGTTTCAAGTCATTTGGAGCCGTATTGAAGAAGTTATGATCTATCTACTGGAGGCATATCAACCCTGTAGCGACCAGAACTGTAGCGACCAGAGCATGTCGCTAGGAAGAGCGCGGAGAGTCTGTAGCGACCACTGCATGTCGCTACGAGCATGTCGCTACAGATGAAAAGACCCAACTTTTATGCTCGTTTTTAGGCTTCTATAAATACATTGGAGACCTAAGTTTAGAACTATCTTCTTTTCTCTCAAAAACACATTGGAAAGTTGAATCCTTGATTAATATAATATTTATTTCTTGAGTAATTTGGAGTCTATCTCTTCTTCTAATCATGATTAGTCTTCTATCCATCATGGATTTAAGATTAAACATGAATATTAGTGAGTAGACTCTCTTTGAGCTTATGGGTTAGGGTGATTAGGATGATTAAGTGATGATCTAGGGTGATTAGTGTTAGATCTTTCTTGTCCTATGCTTATTACTTATTCTCAATGCTAGATTAGACCTAATCCTTCTAAACTAGATCATTAGGCATTTCATGCCGACAAGGTGTATGATGAAATGCCTGAACCAAAGTAATAATGCTTTTTGCTTGCTTAACCAAAGACACTTCATGTTAGGAAGGCTTAGATGGTTAGTAGACTTGTTCTCAATGATTGCTTGATTGATTTAGACCAATGACCATTTGTGGATAGAGATTGATAGTAAATGAGCTTTTACCTTGACCAAGAACTAGCTTAGGATTGTGTCTAGACCTATAGGATATGAATGATTACTTGAAACCTCACCCTAGATAGCAACTTGATCACCCAAAGTCAATACCTTTACCCATAAGTTCTTTTATCTCATTTAAACCAAAGCTTAGTTATTCTTATTTACATATAGCTTGTTACTAGTTACTTATAAAACAAACCCCCATTGATTGCATTTAGATTTAGCAATGTCTTGCATTCTCTTTATTCAATAGCTCTCAGGATTGGATTGACACTTTACTTACCTTACTACATTGATTTGCTCTAAGGCCTAAAAAGCCTTATCAGAAGGGTATTACAGTATTAATATGTATATATAACGACGTGTATAGGTTTGTTAGGGAAATAGCTAGTATGTGAATTATATTTTTTTCATGGTCATACGGCCCAATTTCTCTAAATAAAATATTCGGAATTACGTAACGTGATTAATATATATATGTCAATTAATGATTTTAAATAATAAAATTTTGCTAACAATCAATATTTGATCACTTTTTGTTTAATTATTTAGTATTAAAATAAACTACAAAATTATATCAATCATATAATAAAAAAATAGATTTTTGTATATGTTGTATTAATTTTGAAAAACGAGTATAAATTACTAAAACTGTTAAAAGTCTCACATAAAATTTTGTGATCAAAGTTTTTTTTTTCTATAATAAGATACAAGGATTATAAAAGCATATGAATAAATAATTTTATTTTCATAGGTGTTTATGTTACTATATATATTTCATATCATTTAAATTAAATTATACATCATATAAAACTACATACTTATATTTTGATATTTGCATTGAACATATATTGAAAATTTAATCTTTTAATTTTGAAATCTTCATTGTTTTTAAATGATTATAAATTATTGAAATCACTAAACATTCCACATTAAAAAATTCGTTCGTGTAAAATTGTGTTACATAAATATGCAAATAATAATAAAATCCTAGGAGCTTAAACCTCATTTAATAAATATCATATTAAAAGTATATTGTTTAAATCTATGTTATCATTTAAATTTTTATATATCATATATTATATAAGATTGATTGTTTTGATTTACTTATCCTAAATTAATTGTGAATAAACATGAGCGGTCATTTGATTTAGCATGCCAAGTTATTATATAATAGTAATTGATTTTTTAGTTATTTAATATAATTATTATTTTACTATGTCATAATATGAAGAAAAAATAAAATAAATAACAAATATAAAATATTTATTTTGCACTAAACGCAGATTTTAACCTAAGTATATATCTCTTTAATAATTTTAAATCTTAAAATTGTCTTAATCTTAGACCAAAACAAAACAAGTAAATGAGAATAAACTCAAAAATCAATATTTATATCAAGTAACCAAAATGAAAAAATCGACAAAAAAAAAATTGAAAATAGTTAGAATTGACACGTGATCGTAAAATTCTTATAACCATAATTAACTTTTAAATTGTTAAATTATGATATAAAATCAAGCTGACATAGTTTCATTGTAACTAAATAGTAGGTGTGCAATTATTCGGCTTAAATGATATATACGATAAGTGATTTTTTAACCTAAAATATTTTAAAAATTTGGATCAGATCATCAATAAGCTATTTAATTAACCAATTTTTTAAATTGTATAAAGGCCAAAAATGTTAATTCGGTCGAGAATATAATTTTTTTTTGGTACTATATTTCTTAAATAAATTTCATATAATTTTCCATACTAGCAAAGCATAGATTTTATCCTTGTAAGACTCCTCTAGACCAGACGACTTGAATCATAAAATCATCCTCTCTCTATGATGAAGATATCTTTTATCCGTCGCTCTCCCTTCATGCATGGTACATTTCTTCTCTTTTGTCTTTCTCTAAATATTACATCTTGAATAAGTACATACAATATAGTCCACAAACCACGACCTCGTACGTAGCATGTTCTAATATATCAAATCGATGCTATCGTTTGACATGCTTATTTGACATTACGAACAGAATTTTACAGAAACAACTTAAAAAAAAAAAAGAATTATAATCGACCAAGCTTTTGTTTTTAATGGATCTTTAACTTTCCGTCATGTCAAGGTGATTGTATTGTAACTTTGTTAAGTTCAAGTGAAGCTAGTTGCTCCATATCCTAGTTTTACTCTTTTACGATGGTCTTCTTCGCCGGAATTTTCAGTTAGAAAAACAAACCGGCGGAGAATTTTCATCTATTTCTAGATTGTGTGTGTTAACTTTGTTTTCTATATATTATTCCTAAAATGTGTTTGTTCACTTTCGTTTTTATATAATGATAACCAAAAAAGCACATCGATATCTGTATGATGCAATTCTCATAGTTCAAATGTTGATTGCTTGGACTTTCTTTTCCATCTGTACAGGAATATTCATCTAGCTACTTTCAAGATATAGTTTCAGGTTCATCCTGCTAAGAAGGGATCTTAGATGATTCGTTTGGTCATCATGCTTATTATTCTCTTCTTCTTCTTTAAACAGGTTTTCGATGCGTTAAGAACAACAATGTTCATATTAGGAATGATGTGTGTATTCATAGGCATATCTTTACTAGCACCGGATGATACAAGAGGTAATGAGACAAAAAGACAATACATCATCTCTTGATGCCAATGGTGTATTCGAAGATCACAGGAATTAGAGGAAACGGAGTCGAGAGGGCTAAGATCTTGTCCATGAGAGGAGCAGTACCGGTCTTGACATGGGAAAGACCAGAAGCAATTTTCTAAAAATTGGCCATTTCTATAAAAATGTTTATATATTATAATAATAATTTTCTTATAAAAAAGACTGAATTTTTCAAGTATTTTTTGAGGGCCGGAAGCGGTTGCTTGTAATGCTTCCCCTCAGGACCGGTACTGGAGAGGAGGATCAGGATGGAGCAAACTAGCCATGGAAGAAGGAACAAGAATGCTGAAAAGACATCTCATCATCACCCTTCAAAGGCTTAAGTAGACAGCTTTCCCAGGTACATTCTTCTCTTACCAATGTTTTTTAGGATCCATTACACGTTGTGTATTCTTGCAAAGACCAAAATGTATTATTACATTGCATATATATATGTATGTTAAATTTTGTTTGTCTGTTTGAGACCTGTTGAAAAGAGTTTCATAAAGTGCAAAATGTAAAACAAGTTTGAATTGAGTTTTAATCATTATTACAAATCCACAACTCAGGGCTACAGTTTATATATCTCAGCCATGAGGTGAACTCCTATAGATTTTCGAAACACATTTCTTACCATGGGTTACCGGAACATATCATAAAATGGAAAACAGACATCAAACATTGTGAAAATGGGTACCATATCAGGAGGGTAGAAATTGGCACCAGGTGGCTTAGTCAAAGGAAAGGCTGCTCTGTATTCAAGACCCTTCCAGCCAGCAATAGGTTTCGTTGCTTCAGGAAGCAACTTTACAGCTGAATCAGCCGTAGTCAAGAGTGGTTCATTTTCATCCAAAGACGACCTACAAATGTAGAAAGAAACGTCGTCAATCTATTGCACTGATCACTCTCCTAATTGTCATGAGGTGTGTTACAATATGTTAAATGAATTTTGCAACTTGTATTAACAGACACCTTTGTTGTAACAAAGCCAGTACAATGATACTCACCATGGAATTTTGTTGATCAGGAAGTATTTCCATTTTAATTTGTCAAGTTCTGATGCATTAGCATGCTCCTTAAGCCAATCTCTTAGAGCTGGATTGCTGTGCCAAAACTGTTTAGGATAAACAGACAACTTATCTAGTTTAGTTTAAGTTCAACCATGAGAAACATAACTGAAAATTCAGACAACAGATGTACAACAAAACCTGCTCATGGCAAATATCGTCGATTAGACCCAGCGTTTTCTGATCTGCCTCAGAGAGTTCTTCTGTCAACTGCATAGTCAATAAAAGCTGAGTTTTGTGGTACATTTGAAACAAATAAATCACGCTAATATATATATATATATATATATATGTGACAAGTTAGTACATTTGCTTCGAGGGTGACAGGAGAATATCTTTGGAGTTGCTTCTGCAGAGATAAACTACGAGACTCAGTGTTCACTTGGCACCTACAGCAAGAAGAAACACTATAAGAACTGTCTATAAGAAGACTTTAGCTTAGTACAACAACTCTTTTGATGTTGTTAGTACATATCATCAGAGATTACCAAAAAGAAACAACTCAGAAAACACTAAATAAGAGAGATAATTAATGTGTACCTCTGACTGATTATGTGAAATAGTTTTCCAAAGTCTCCATCAACATCATATGGCACATAAGCAGGATCTTTCTTGGCAAGGAGGTTTCTGTATACTTCATAAGGTATGTACTTTACAGCAGAGACTTCCTCTTTCTAATATATAAGAAACAACGAAATGGTAAGGCAACTTGAGAATCCAAATTAGCAACTAAAACTTACAACCTTGTAAAGGAAAAAAAAAAAAAAAACTCACTTGAAGAGTAAAGGCTTCTAATGGGATCGGATGCAAAATTGTAACAAGATACACATCATCGAACTCATTATTTATGAATTTTCCATCGTTTATGACACTGTAAAAGAAAAACAACACACAGTTGGATAAGAGATGAGACTCCAATAGAGTAATCAGTCAGTGTGGTTATTCAGATTAGAGAAACCAAGTTAAACACTTTAAGAAGCAAACAAAAAAGATTTTATAAAGAGACTAAGAGAATGTATCACATAAGCCAAAATATATGAATTAAAAAAAAAAAAAAAAAAAAACAAACCATTCTTGAAGAAAGACGAATAACATTTCAAAGGCATCTTTTGGGAGTTTTATGCCAAGCTCTTCCTCAAGCTCTCGCCTGCGCAGAAAGAGAAGTGGACAGCAACTTTAGTTTAAAACGAGAGAAGAAGTAAAGTGAATTGCAGAATCAGATTTACTTACTGAGCCGACATAAGAGATGAATCACCAGCTGAGATATGACCAGCACTTGAGATGTCCCATCGACCAGGCCAAGAATCTTTATCATCAGAGCGGAGTTGGAGAAGTAGTTCTTGAGTGCTCTCTACAAAGATCCACACAATAACTGCACGATGGTAATCTCCATCTCGATGAACCTCTGACCTTTAATGAAGAAGGAGGACACGGTGTGACAAAAAAAAAATAAGACAATTTGTTTTAAGGTAACAGAAGTTAACGAAGAATCAAAATCAAACAAAAACAGTAAAGGAAAATCTCAAATGAGACTTCTAGTTATACGAATAGATTTTATATGCATTTTTCATCCAAAAAGTAAGTGAAAAAAGCACATGCCTGGGTTTGGACACACCGGTCTTCTCTCCGAATTTGGTCAGAACGTCGAAGTGTTCTTCCGCCATAGCTTTTATCTCTTTTTTTTTTTTTGAAAAAAGCTTCTATCTCTCTTCCTCCTTCGTGACTGTCCGAAATGAGAAAAACGAATTACCTATTTATACAAGAGGAAGTCTCTCCGTCAAATACAAAAAAATAAAAAAGAGTGACGTACTTTGCTTACTTGCAGAATAAGCGAAGGACTTAGTTTTTATTTATTTATTTATTTATAACGCTTTACTTTATTAGTTTCAATGAGTTTGTAAAGTCATGATGCAAATCATTACACTACAGAAAGCCGATGAATTTTTCCGAGAATCTTTTTGGTCAGAAAAAATATAGACAAAATTTTGAGAACTTTCCGAGAACAAAAAAAGCAACTTGTTAATCTACTCGGAAAGTTCCAATGTGAATGTGTTGCCGGAAGTTTCTCCGAAATTTGTTGGAAATTATGATATGATTCAGCAAAGGACTTAATTAGTTTTATTGAGCAAAATAAAACTAATTAAATTAAAGTGAAATATAAAGAAATTTAATAATATTATTTGATAATATTAATATAATATTTTAAAATCATTTATTTACAAAATGTACCACTGTAAACATGTTTTTATACTTTATATTAATTTCCAAAAATTATAACAAATATCTTACAAAAAAATGAAAATATTATTTTGGTTATTTAATTTTGATTATTTGGTATATAAGATGAATTGTTTTAAACATATTCCAATTGATACTAAATGTAGTGTTAATCTATCTTTGCTATAAAAATTGCTTTTTGTTTCTAGTTTTGCATTTTCTGTTCTTAAGAAAAAAAAAGAAAGAGAAAAATAGTTGATCCAAATCTATATAATAATAGTACACTTTTGAAGCTCTTCAGCGTTTCCACGTCAGCAAGTTTGCAGGCTCCGTGCGTGTTATTAGGGAAAACAAAAACATATAAGTTTTTGTAAGACTGAATGTTATTGATGAATGATGAAATGGCCCAGTGGTGTAAGTCGGTGACGAGAAGTTGGTACCGCGAGTGCGTGGGTTCGAAACGCAGTGCTTGCATGTAATTTTTTTTTTAGTTTAGGCTTTTCGAGATACCTAAAAGCTTAGGGAGATTCAGAATGATTTTTTATGCTGGTTGTTGGGATACAAAATGGCTTAAGGATTTGAAACTTTATGAGACCATCTTAGATACTTTTATAAGAAAGGTTATCATGTTCTATCCAATATCATTTCAATTCAATTATAATCATCAAATAAAATAAAAACATATTTTTCAATGATAAATATTTACCCCGAACCATTCAGATCGGCCATAAATCTCATATACATCACAACTAAAATATATATATATATATAACATAATTTCAAAAAGAAAATTACACTAATAAACACATGTCCTTTTTTGTCTTGTCTCCATTAAATTGTTTTTTACATGAAAGCACTAATAACAGTAATGCTCGATAAAATCACTAATAAAGGGAATGCTCGATAAAATCACTACGAAGATAAAATATGAAAATATCAACCCATATGAATTCGATGTTTATTCTTTTATCAGACTAATCAAGTTGTGTGACATCTAATGTTTTATTCATCACCATTATAGATAAGCCAGATAAACAAATGTTAAAAAAAAAAACAGAAAAGTCTCATACACAAAACTACACAACACATCAACAACGTATCTAACCCTCACGCTTGCGCGAGGACTATGCATCTAGTGCTCTCTAATGATTCTGATTAGTTACTTAGCATAGCAATTTTGATGACGTGTCAGTTCTATATCAATTGAAAAATAGTTGATCCAAATACTCTCTAATGATTTCCTTAGGATCTCTTAAATTCGATGCACATGACATTGAGCTTATGTTTTGATACATAGCATAAGATAATAAGCATTTAATGGAGTAATTTGAACCATTCATTTATCAAATTAAAATTAATTATATATTTTTTTCTTAAATAAAAAGATTTATTGGTGAAATAGCCATGTATGACTTATAAATTAAAAAAAAATTAAACATGATTTTAGCATAATACATTGTCAGATTTTTTGCTTTCATTCTAGCCGGTTATGTTCCTAAAAGGAAAAGGTTGTCGTTTCATATTTTAAAGTAAATGACGTGTTCAATTTCTGTGGTATAGTAACAACCACATAATTTACATAGTGCATGAAAGATATATATTCAAGACATATACGGTAAGATATCGATTCATAATTTATGTAGTTTACATAAAATAGTATAACTATTATTGTAGCTTTAACTGAACGTAATTCAATATAATTTTCTTTTCTATTCTACATGCTGCTGAATATGACATAGAAATTTTGACATGACAAGTGCAAATAAAATGCATGTCCCTTCCATGTAAAGCACATGAAATGGAAACAAATACTATGTAATTTTACATAATAAATGTTAAATCAGACCTAACTTTTGAATACTAAACCCTAAATTGCTATTAGTAAACCCAAACCTCAACCTTCCAAATACTAAACCCTAAATCCTAATCACTAAACCCTAAACTCTAGTATAGACTCTAAACACAAATAGAATGGAGCAAAATACATAGAATAGTAAATATTGATGAGCAAAATAGAACCCTTTTTATTAATCATCATATGAAACAATACATGATAGAATCACTAAACCCAAACCTCAACCTCCACCTTTCAAATACTAAATCCTAATCACTAAACTCTAAACCCAAGTATAAATCCTAAACCCGAATAGAATGGAACAAAAAACATAGCATAGTATATACTGGTGAACAAAACAATACATTCTTTATTCTGTTCCATTCTACATGGTTCACATAGAATAGACAAACTATTGAAGTTGATAAAGGTATGTGATGGGGGACGATGTCACCAGATACTTTCTCACACCTTAATCGATGGAATAAATAGCAAAGACTTGATCACATATTTGACATATGAAAGAATTCCAAAAAATCATGTATTAAAGTGTAATTACTAAAAGGAAATTAGTGGTGTCAAAGTAGAATCCATAGCAGTTCTTGTTCCATGCTACATGGGACACGTAGAATAGAAATTTGGATTAGTAGTTTACCAAATCATGAAAGAGTAGATGACGTAAAAGAGTGAACATGTGAAATTAGATACACCACGATTTACTTTTGGGTGTTTAATAATTAAGATTTTTATTTTTTTATATCAAGTTATGCCGGTTGAAAGAAGGGTATTACAATATTAATATGTATATATAACGAAGTGTATATGTATGTTAAGGAAATAGCTAGTATGTGAATTATACTATTTTCATGGTCATACGGCCCAATTGCTCTAAATAATATATTCGGAATTACGTAACGTGATTAAGATATATATGGCAATTAATGATTTTAAATAATAAATTTTTGCTAACAATAAATATTTGATCACTTTTTGTTTAATTCTTTAGTATTAAAATAAACTACGAAATTATATCAATCATATAATAAAAAATTAGATTTTTTGTATATGTTGTATTAATTTTTTAAAACGAGTATAAATTACTAAAATGGTTAAATGTCTCACATAAATTTTTTTGATCAAAGTTTATTTTTTTCTATAATAAGATACAAGGATTATAAAAGCATATGAATAAATAATTTTATTTCCATAGGTGTTTATGTTACTATATATATTTCATATCATTTAAATTAAATTATACATCAGATAAAAATACATACTTATATTTTGATATTTGCACTGAACATATATTAAAAATTTAATATTTTAATTTTGAAATCTTCCTTGTTTTTAAATGATTATAAATTATTGAAACGACTAAACATTCCACATTAAAAAATTCGGCGGTGTAATTTTTTTTACATAAATATGCAAATAATAATAAAATCCTATGAGCTTAAACCTCATTTAATAAATATCATATTAAACGTATACTGTTTAAATCTATGCTATCATTTAAATTTTTATATATCATATACATTATATAAGATTGATTGTTTTGATTTACTTATCCTAAATTAATTCCGAATAAACATGAGCGGTCGTTTGATTATCATGCCAAGTTATTATATAATAGTAATTGATTTTTTAGTTATTTAATGTAATTATTATTTTATTATGTCATAATATGAAGAAAAATAAAATAATTAACAAATATAAAATATTTATTTTGCACTAAACGCAGATTTTAACCTAAGTGTATATCTCTTTAATAATTTTAAATCTTAAAATTGTCTTAATCTTAGACGAAAACAAAAGAAGGAAAAAAGAATAAACTCAAAAAACAATATTTATATCAAGTAACCAAAATGAAAAAAATCAACACAAAAAAATATTGAAAATAGTTAGAATTGACACGTGAACGTAAAATTATCATAACCATAATTAACTTTTAAATTGTTAAATCATGATATAAAATCGAGCTGGCATAGTTTCATTGTAACTAAATAGTAGGTGTGAAATTATTCGGCTTAAATGATAGGTGCATATACGATAAGTGATTTTTTAACCTAAAATATTTTTAAAATTTAGATCAGATCATCAATAAGCTATTTAATTAACCAATTTTTTTTTTAAAAAATTGTATAAAGGCCGAAAATGTTAATTCGGTCGAGAATAGAAATTTCCTTCTCTTTTGTACTATATTTTTTAAATAATTTTCATATAATTTTCCGTACTAGCAAAGCGTAGATTTTATCCTAATCGATTATTAATCCGCAAGAAAGGTGGCAAAGTTGTCTGGACTTTATGATTAGTACTGTCGAGAGCATTTTTACCGATGGTTTTGTATTTAAAATCTAAATTAATAAGAAAAAATATGAGAAATCATTTTTCATATGAGAACTTGTTTAGACAAAAGAAGATTAAAATTTCTTTTTGTATGTCATGTTTTGATTGATTTAATATTCGTATTTTCAAATTTATTAACAAAATTGTATAGCACTCTATATTAGTATTATATTAATACTTATAATTAATTATGTTTTCTCAGTGTTTATTTTTATTTTATTTTTCTCTCCTTCAAGTGACTCTGTATTAGTTTATTTATATTATTAA